TGTCGTCAGCAAACTCACTGAGGGTGCACTCAATCCCGCTGTCCGTGTTGCCAACAAAGATGATGGTAGTGCCGGTCCCAGTACTGACCCCTGACAAATGCCTCTCGTCACTGGTCTCCGCTTGGACATCGAGCCGTTGATTGCAACTTCTGAGTGCAACCGTTCAGCCAATTCCTTATCCACTAAGTGGTCCATGTGTCAAATACATGTCCCTCCAATTTAGAGTGACAGTGTGAATGTTTTGCACAAGTCCAGGTAGATGACATTGGTTGGTAGATGATTCTTCTCCCTCAATGTCATTTGAACTGATCTGCATACACATGTACTTCATTACACAAGAGCCATGAAAAATTAGGCTTAAATTTAGATCATATAGTCTCTGTCTGCACAAAAGATTTTTTTTTTTTTTAAGTGTGGTTAAGGAAGCAAGCTTAGAACACTGATCTTCTCTGTAAAGCCTTTGACTGATTAGGTAAGGACTGAATGATAAATGAGACTACCTCAGCAGTGACCTCTCGTTATACTGCAGCTTCCACACTTACCTTTGTCAACATGATGTAACATTTAAACTTTTGGACCAGCATAGGTCTTCTTTTAGCCAATACCATGGAAAAATCAAACTTGTGTGAACCTGCTGTCATTTCTACCCCTGAAAGCTTGCTACCCTGTACAAAATTCTTCAGTACTTGCACAGAGGAAGTTGCGAGCATGATCTGTCCCAGTGCATGCGTGACAGTTTGTAGAATGACTGTGCTGCTTTAGGTTCTTCTTCAGTTGTGACTATAACTTACCCGTGGCTTATACACCTGGCGTTCTTTCCATTTCTTAGCAGCAAAGATGTACATCATGGTAGCAGTCAGCCACCATTTAATCTCCATTTACTGCATTTCTTAAAAGAACTTATAATAAAAGCAAGACTCTCAATTGAAAACTAATTAAATTGTTTTCACTTAGGGACCCTGGTGGCTGTAAAAAAACAGTAAAAGAAATTGAAGAGGAAAAGTTAACAACGTATATGTGGGAGCTCTTTATCACAGACACAAAGGTAACTTCATTGTTAATTTCTTCCTTGGGACCCAATCCAACTTTTCAAGCATTTGTTTTGTTACTTAATTGAACACGATATTACAGTTTATGCTCTGGATCTTGTGACTGCAGAGTACTTATCTCTAGGTTTTGGAGAATAATAATTTGATACTAGGTAATAGGAAGAGCAGTATGTAGCTGATGGAAACAGTGGTTTGGTCTTAGCGATAAGTACTGATGTGGGAAGAATTCAGTGTTCGATTAAAACGTAACTAGCCTCTTGTTTGCATTTGTCTCCTTTTCTATGACCCGGAGTTATGTAGCAGCTCTTGTTTACACAAACGGTCTTTTTCAGTCAAATTGGGATTTCAGGCTCGTATCCTGGCGGCCTTATTGTAGTAGGTTCTAGTCGTTATTTGTTTGGTTGCCTTTTTACACAAAATTTAAAGCTGAATTCAGAAACAAATTCCAAATGTTGAGGCCTTTCAAGAAAGCAGGATTCGCTTGCCATGTTCAAAGAAAAGCCAAGGAAGGAGAAAACAAGTGATTCAGATCAAAGCCTTTTAAAAGAAAAATTAAGTTAATACCTGAGAAGAAATTAAACACTAGAAAATTATCTGTAACACTTGGCAACTGTTTTACTATCTTTCTGAAACTACAGAAGGACTTTTCTTTTTGAAACTGCTGAAGTGTGTGGAGGAAAATGAATGGGGAATGAGTAATGCTTAGGTGTATAATTAGGAGAACTCACTAAAGAACCAGTAGGCTACTCACTCTGTAGCACATCTTACATTTTGATCTTCAGCAGTTTGCTTAAGCTTTTCGTTCCTTGCTTTGCCCCCTATAAGGCTAAATTAAACAAATTTTGTGAAGTGCTTTTAGAACCCCAGGTGAGGCACTCTTAGAAATATGAGCTGTTGTTACATGTGGGCTATTTGCTCTTGTTATTTGTCAACACCTGGAGCTTGTACCCTCGTGACATAAAAATTAAAATGATTCAATAGAAGATTGTGATTTCTGTTGGGGAATAAGCAGCCAAAGTTGTGAAACTTTTAAAAGACAAAGATTGTGGTTTTATGCAAATATTCTTCCTGCTGTTAGCAAACATAAATAACAGTTGTTTCTAAATATGAGGCTCTCTGATTTTTCCATACAGTCTTACCAGTTCTCTAAAAATCAGGTCCAAATGAACATGAGCAGAAGAAACCAAAGTGCATGTCAGTCTTGAGGTGTCTTTTAACATTTACATTGCTGAGACTCTTATTTTTTTCCTCCCTGAATTAATGATAATTTCCTTTCTGTCATTTACGGTAATATTACTGGAAGACTGCTTTTCATATTTGATAATGAAACTCCTAGTGGAAATACTGGGTTCCTTCAGGGGCACTTGCTTTATAATACACATTGTTCTGATTATCAAGCCTGCAGAATTCAGTCTGCTTTCAGACTTTGGTTTTGGATTCCTGACACACGAAATTCATTTGCCAGGTTATTGGGTGTTGGGAGGAGACCTGAACATTTATCAAACCACTTTGACCTATTCTTCCCTGTACACAAGAAGGTTGCTCTATTACCAACCCTCTCTGCAGCTGCAGTGTTACTCATTTAGAAATTTCTTAATCTGTTGGCATTAATGCTATAGCAGAGGAGTACTGAAGAAAGATAACAAAATGAAGGTGGTCCTACCCAAGAAATCACTAGCTTGTCTGAAGTCATTAGAGGAAAATCTATGAGGTTATAGGAGGACCAGAAGGATCTAATACTGGAATTAGTTACAGAAATATGATTTTTTTTTTTGTTGTCAAATTGCTACAAAAAAACCCTCCTTTCTATTCTTTTTTTCTTCTACGTACAGAAATGCACCTGGAAGGCACAATGTAGTCCACTTAGCAGGAAGATAAACAAGACGTCTACTCCAGGTAGCTCTCAGCTTAGCTGTCGGTCATCTCCCTATGGTCAAACCCCTCGTGGTGGCGAAACTTCCACTGTACTTTGCTCTGAAGATAACGTCAAGGTCAATGTAGCTTCATCTGATGTCATGAGTGAGTCAGCACAAGCTAAAGAACAACCATCTCTCTTCCGCTGTACGTTACTTTTCTTGACTGCCAAGATCAAATGGATTTCCTTTCGGTGTCACTGGGGAGAACCTACACACAGACACTGCTGGATGTACCAGTATATTTCTTTTTAGGCATATGGAACTTGTCATACAAGTCTTTCTGTGCCCTCCCTATTAGAAAATTGGTTTAAAGACAGTATAATCACATGTGAATATTAAGTAAGAGTTTTAATTAATATTCAGTTACAGCGGTTGTACAATCAGGCTGTCATCCACATCTGTAAGGTCCAACAGGTGGTGAAAACAGTGAAACTGTTCTCTGCCATAACCCACTGATCCACTGAGCATGTATCTAACTTAGGGGGTTCTGTTTCACTTCGGGGTTTCTTACTCTGTGTTCCTCCTACTCATCCATCAGTGTTTACCTGTGCTTGAGAGGCCTGGCAGAATGGTTTACCTGTTAGCTCTGCAATGTGTGCAGGGCAAAGTAAGTCTTTTCCCTTCCTTCTAACTAAAGCTGTACCAGAAAAGCACATTAGTATTTAGTACTGCTAATTACCTTTTAGTTGATATTTATATTATCATTATTAGGCTGATATTGTGCTCTAAATTACCACTCAGGAAGGAGCTCTTGGAGTTATTTGGGATAGTTCTGTGAATGTTCAGTAGCTATCAAAAAGGCAAGAGGAACCCCAAGACTGAAGTGGAAGACAAAGCAGAAAACGTGTTATGCAAAAATACAAATGTTTTGTATGTGCTTCTTCAGTTCCAGTCCTTCCAGTTCAGATAGGCTGGTATCACAAGTAGTAAAGTTTGATGGAAGAAAAGTGGTGAGGTTTGTTAGACATACAGAATAGCTTCCAGCTGAGAAGCAATTAAATAGACTAGGGCTTTTCAGTGCAGAAAAGAAATGGCTGAATACAAGTTTATGACTGATCTCTGTAACATCATGAAGTACATGGAAAAAAGTGATTGGAGAGTGGTTATTCAGAAGTTCCCTCGACACCAGATTTGTGGCACACCAAATTAAATTATCTGGCAGAAAATTTAAAGCAATGGGAAGTGTTTTCATGTGATACATGATTAAACTTAGGAATTCATTGCTGCAATATATTGCTGGAAGTATATTTAAGTCCAAAAGCAATTTAAGTGAATAGAAGAAAAAACGATTAATTGCTCTTCAGTGTAAAGGAATGGACATATCCTCTGGGTTTGGAAGCCATTTAGGTTCAGACTGTCAGAAGCTGGGTGGCTATGTCAGGAAGCTTGCACTAATCATTTACTACCTGCTGTCCATGGCACGGAGCACAGATGAACGGCCTTCCTATGACATGAATGGGAGTAGTGGAGAATTCAAAGCTCTAATTTCAAGCAATTTGTTTACAGACGTGGGTGAACAATTGGTTTGTGTGCGAGATGAGATTTGAAAATAATCTTGAGAGCTGTAACAGCTGGGAGTCTCCGTTTGGTGTGCAACATAAATATCTTGCAGTACGTGTGATGGATGGGAAGGATGTTTGGTGTATCCTTTGGAACAACATCTGTCACGTGGTTGCTTGTGATTTCAGGGGACTGGCCCGAGTTACTAGTCTGGCCCTCTCAAGGGTTATGTTCCTAGCTCTAAAAAATATGGGAAGTTAGTTTCTGCAGGGCAGCTCTGTAGCAAAGGTTGGATTCTGTAATGAATTTTGAAGCTGCTAGAATCATGTTTAATCCCGGATTCTGATTATAGGATGCTTCATGGACAAATCAGAAATGGATTACAAGTACAGCTGCCCTGTAGCCTTTTACTCCAAATTCACAAAGCTTCATCTAATTCATACAGACATAATTTTGAGAGCACACACAGCCCTAACCCACACGTACGCATATATCTATTTCAGAAGTGGAAAAGAGATTCTGTAGTAGGCAGCTAATCAGTAGATACAGCTGAGTGCGACTCTTACCGATTTCTTCAAGGAAAGAATTCATAGCTCAATATAAAGCCTTTTGTCCAACTCTAATTTAGATGCTGCTGTTTGGGGACTGCTGCTGTAGAATGTCTGCTTATACAAATTTGATTTTTCAGTGCTGTTGGCTGAATGAGGACCTGTACTAGTCTGAAAGTTTAAATGTTACATCATGTTGACGAAGGTAAATGCGGAAGCTGCAGTCCTTGTAGCTGTGGTATAATGAGAGGTCACTGCTGAGGTAGTCTCATTTATCATTCAGTCCTCACCTAATCAGTCAAAGGTTTTACAAAGCAGATTAATCTTCTAAGCTTGCTTCCCTCACCACATTTAAAAAAAAAATATATCTCTTTTGTTTAGACAGAGACTACATGATCTAAGTGTACTAAATGTAAGCCAAATTTTTCATGGTTACTGTGTAATGAAGAATGAGTGCAGATCACTTTAAATGGACGTATATTTTCTTCACACTGAAAAGTAAAATGTGAGACTGTATCTGAGATATTAAACACTAACTGGATTTTATCCCCAAAGCTTTCTGGCCAGTAGTTTAGCTTTAAATTCTCAGTCAAAAATTTATTTTTAGAAGAGGATGTATAAATATTTATGCAAAGGATCTTAATTATAAAACTCATACCTGAATTTGGGACTTTTCTTTGGGATTGATAAATGTCTTCTCAATTGATTTATCATTGCTAGATCCCTGCAAAACAGATAAATATTAGTACCCCATTTCACAGATGATTAACTAAGGCATAGTAATCAACGTCAGGTGAAATTACTACATTCTTCTTTGCTTTCTTCTCTTTTCTAAATAATGTCTGAATAGCTTACAGCTATGGAGGTTAATATTTCAAAAATATTATGAATATGGACAAGTTTGGGTATTTGTTTTCTCAGTTTCTCCAGATGGAGAATTGGAACAGGTTCTAATGCTACAAAATGGAGGGCAGAGAGGTATTACGCTCTCTGTTTCTGTTGACCAGCCAAAAAGAGGAGCTGTGTCTTTGTGGTATTAGCCCCGATTTGCTTCCTGTCACCTCCCTCCAAAATCTGCCAACAGGACTGCTTTCAGGACTGGCTTTAGACAGCTCATCTTGGAGAAAACATCAAGTGCAGCCACTGCTTAGTACAGCCCTCTTCCCCCAAAGCACCATTATCTGCAGAGCAGATGGGTTTCAGATCTCCAGCTATTCAGTCTGCCCAAGTGGTAGCCATAAATAGAAAGCACTGGGTTCTTCTAAGAAGGGTTCTGACACTGCATGCCAAGAACAGATGAGATTTGTATCCAGCCTTAGCTCCGTTTGAGCAGAGGCTCCCTGCCCGTATCGATGCCAGGTTCCAGATACCCTGTGGGGCTCAGCCTTTGTATTCAAACTGCTCCTCAGCTCTGGAGCTCTGGAAGGTCCAAGTGGCGTAGCCAGCATCTTACAGGCTTATGCTTTGAGACTAGTAAGGGTCACAGTGGAGCCTTCATTAGAACCAGTCAGTGCTAGAACTTGGGAGTTTCTGACTGGGACCTTGGCACTCTTGAAGCTCACCTGGCCACAGCTAGTAAAGGATCTTCGTTATAAGCATGGTTCTTAAAATTTTAGCCCATTAGCTGGTGCTCAGCGACTTGTTCCATCCGAGTCTTACACTTATAAATTCACAGTATAATATTCAAATCTGTACTTTTAATAAGTAGAAATAGTTTGTGCTGCTATTTAATGTAGTCAACATTCAGCAGTCATTTTCTATTACACTGTACGCGGCGCTTCACAGAAATGTATGAAAAGGACCTTTTGAATTTGGGGACTACAACTGCAAGGTGTTGAGTGCTCAGTAAAATGTCACTTATTACCATGTAGGACATATTGAGCACCTCAGAGGATGACTTAGAATTTGACAGCTAACACTCAGATTTTAATAACAAGTGTGACAGTTGTTCTGCTGCATGAGTGATTGGAGGGAATAATGCAGAGAAGCTGGCCGTCTCGGTATCTCTCCAGGGGTTTGGCATCAAAGTGGGAATGAAACAGCAGTGGGAAGGAAAACAAAGATGTCAATCTGAAGGAAAACAGTGAGGTAAATTGGCTTTCCAGGTATTCAAGGGAGAGGAGACTATAAGCATTCACATCGCAGTGGAAGGCAGAAAGAGAGTAAAGAGTGTTATTAGTGAGAGAGATCTGCTCAAAGGCGGATAATCTGGAAACTATAGCCAATGAAGGGCTACTTGAGGGCATGTCTTAAGTTTTAGTGTATGCTGATAAGGAGACACAGAGAAGTAATTAGATAGCTGTTGATGTTAAATGTATTAAATTCCATATTTATGAAGAATGGCAAAGTGATATGGTAGACTTAAAAATTCTGAAGACTTGACAGTTATGCCAGTAGAATGCTAACAGCAGAGTGCAGGAGCTGAAAATAGACTTTCTGTGTAGTTTGTTCAGATCTGGTTTTCTAATACGCTATTTTTATGAGCATCTAATGTAAAATATATTTCATATCTTCTATTTGATGGGTTTTTTCCCACAGCTGAAAGAACAGAGCTTATATTTTCAAAAATGATTAATGATGAATTGAGTGCATTTGTATTTGTGTACCTTCTTGAAACCTCTTTTAAAAGCTGCTTTATTTGAAGAAACTTTCATTTTTAGAAATACTAAATAGCAGGTTTCTTTAGAATGTCTCACTCAGGCCAGCATATATGGCATTCTCTCTGCAGGGAAGAGGGGAATGCACTATTCAGTTGGCATGTTTTTACAGAATTTTTTTTACCAGCCCTACAGGAAGTCACCCAGATAACACATGAAGTGGTGTCAAAAGATGTCCATAAAAAACAAGATACGGTTAAGAAGACTGGACTGCAACGGTACGTTACTTGGTGGGTTTCTGAATGACTAGAAGCAACTTACCAGGACAGAGCTAATGCGCTTTTTTTTTTTCTCTCTTTCTTTCTTTCTTCACCCCCCCACCCCGCCCAACTTCATCCAGCATTCAGTCAATTCACATTGTGTTTACATTTGTTGGCATGGGTGACAGAATAGCCCATTTTACTGCTGTGCAAGCAGTATGTATTTTCTGGAAAATACCCCATGAATCTTTCCTTTGCAGACAGAAGAGATCTCATGCTCCAGCAGCTTTGTCGAAAAAGTGATGTTCTGTCTTAGTCATGTGGAATTGTTTCAGTTTCTAGCATTGCATTTTTCAGTAGTCTCTCTGTAACATTTCCAGCTAAGCCTATGCTAGATGTGTTCCCTCATTATTCAGTTCTACGGTGGTTTCCCCAGCTATAAGATCAACATGACAGACCATACCTACAACTAGGCTTTGCTAAAGCATTTTTGCCCTTGAGTTGAGGTCAAGAGATAAATTTTGTACCTGGATAGCTCCAGCAAGTCTGTAATATTAAGAATATTTTATCAGCACCTGTAGAATTTTTCACGTTCTGGAGAAGGCATACTGTCCACTGTTTTAAACCATGTTGTCTCTTACAGTGTGTTGCCAGTGGCTCAGAAGAACTCCAGAGTAAACGTGCCATTCATTAAGGACCACGAGGGTACGATGGCAGGGAAGCGGAGGCCCAGGAGGCAGGGGTAAGGGTACAAACCTGGTTTTGAAGCACATTATATGCAGTAAACTCAGCTCTATGTGTGAAAAGCTTTGGGCATGCAAATGTCAGAGACCATTTTATTACATGAGACCAGAGCAGGCCAGTGCAACCTCGCAGCACGTGCAGTACCTTTCAGTGCAATGCAAAGGCATTTCCCTGGCAGGATGTGACTGGAATGACAGTAAAAATCCAAATTTAATATAATTCATATTTTTTATTAATCAAATTATTTCATAGATTTGATGACTTTAAAAAAACCCTGTAAATTATATTAAATTTGGATTTTTACTGAAAATAAGATCTCAAAACTTACATGGGCTCACATCACTCTGCTCTGAGCAACAGAGGTACTTACCACAAAATGGTTACCACGAGATGTTAATACCAGTTTGCTGTGTTGTTTTAGTCACAGCTGCCACATCAGTTCTTTCATTAAAAGCAAATCTAACTTGGGTGCCGAGATGAGGCAGAAGTTCACAGCAGTCCGTGAAGAAGCAGCTGCTTGTTTACATGATACCCTCGTGGGCCTTGAGAGGTGGGACTGTTTTCTGTGTATTCTTAAAACACTACAGACCTTGCATCTGACCAGATTTAGTACTTGTCTTCAGGGCTTTTAAAGATGCACTTACATGGACTGACATTAAAATAAGAATATAGGGGTGATGATAGAAAGTTTTATGACTGTCTGTGTACAGAATTATTATTACAGGTTAAATATTTACAGCAGTGTTTTGGGATATTTTTGAATGACTTTTCTGGAAATAGTTTTGCTAATAAACATTCAATACATTTACTTTGGACGCCGTAGTCCTTTTCACCCAAAGACAGAATAATAAATTCAGTCCACGTACAATCTGTATGGCTGTCTTGTGTTTTCAGATCACTGTGGTGTTTTTCAACATTACTTGGGCTTTTCCCATAGTAACAGTTGCAATGTCCTCTCTCAAGGCCTTTTCCCAGATCAGTGACATTTCTGCCTTGTTGACCAGCCAAAGCCTGGCATCCTTTTCTTTTCACCGGGAAACATTCGTCTGTGATGTTTGTGGAAATTCTTTTGTCTCAGTAAGCATTAGACATGAGATCCTTCTCTACATTGCTGTTCTGAAGGCTGTTATAGGCACAGTTTTCTTTCCCCCTGTCACTTCCTCCTTCTTCCCATTCTTCTGTTCCATTTTGTACTTAGATTTTTTTGTCTCCAGAGCTTTCCTTATCTGGAGCTGAGTCCTTGTTTTCTCCCCTGAGCAGTTGCTGTGACTGCTTAAGGAACTAAGCATTCCAGCATCCTGCAGTATGGAAGAACAACTCAGGTGGAAACTTAGTATTTGCAGCTATTTTGCCATTCTCCATAGAGCCACACAAGCATGGAGGTGATTACAGCTCCAAGTGATACAGCCACTTGATCAGCATTTGGAGATGAAAACTCAGTTTGGCAGGATATAGTATAAGTAATGTATTGGAAAGAAAAGCACCTGTTTATTTTTGTTACAACACAGTAGTGATTTCTGTACAAATGCATACATGAGCTCAATCTCTGGGTCAAAAATCTAGCTGAAGTCATTCTGTTCCACCTCTTTTCTGTTGTATTTTAAATAACATTTTACCCTAAATCACTGTACAGTATTTGCTTTAGTTTTAAGTAGTGGATACCTGATAGAAAGTGGAGCTTGAATTTCAATTTAAATGTTTTAATTCTGAAGTTTCTTACCGACAGCCTAGAGTTGATATAAAATGTAAATACTTTTTAGTGTTTGTAGAAATATGAATGTATACAGAACACTGCAAAAGTAAAAATTGTTATTGGTGTCCACAGACTGAACGTACAATACATTCTTCACATTCATTGTTTTCTGCCTTCCTTAGTATCTTCCCAGTTAACTATGCAGAAGTATGGTAATGTTTAAAACACAGCTTTAACTTTTAAGGGTTTTTTATAGGAGGCAGGAAGAGCGATGTCAAAAATACCAGGCTTTGAAACAATTGAAGTATTTCAGAAGAGACATGGAAAGAATGAGACAGCTGGGCATGACAGCCGAAAGAGAACATGAAGATCGACTAAATTGGTAAGGAGGCACAGAAACCTTTAGTTCAAATGAGATGCTCAGGATCCCAGAGTTCTGTCTTCAGTACAAAAAGCTTTTTTTCTTTTCTTTTTTTCTCTGCAAAGCAAAGTATCACTAGAAACCATTGAATTGGCTGCTGGAAATGCAGCCTTCTCAAACTGGTAGCAACAGAAATACAGATATGATCTCTAGGAGCAGATCTCAGCCTGGTCAGCAAATAGGTTAATTGGAAACAGCAACAAAGGGGATAACGAAGAGTTCCTTTCCAGTGGTATCAGGCAAAAAGCACTCAGTCCTTGCATTTGCACACCCTCCCCAGCATGCAGCTTTATAGGAGACTTCTTCCACCAGGAGGCAGGTAAAACACACCGTACCCCAAAGATGAGAGATACTGCATAAATGTACATGGGTTAAATTCACAACTTCTTACTAAACTGAACGTTCACAGTACTAAAACTGATTGCAAAGCAGACTTTGACTCTAGCTGTCCATCCATGTTAAAAAGAAAAATACTTCCCTGCCAGTGTTTGAGCTGCACATGGATAATAGTGCAACACTTACAAGGGCAAGTAGGGTAACCACCTAAATGCTTCCCAGTACAGCAATCCTGCAGGTTACTAGTGGTTTTTGTTGGAAAGGACATTAGCTATATCCAGCGATCAGCTTCCAGATACGCATTAGAAATAGCCTGCCAGAATACCCCAGCATGTTCCTTACTGCCCTGTCCATGAGAACTCCTTGGACATGGGATTACAGAGTATGCAAGCTGCAAGGAATGATGGGTTTTTTCAGCCTGCCCTCTTATGCTCTCCTGGCTACTAAGCTGCCTTTCCTTCATAATTTGAGATAACAAAAAGTCTATGTCTAATCTCAGGTCCAAAATGGAGGTGGCCTAGGACACATTAGGAACATATCAGTCGTGCATTAATGAATAAACCTAGTCTTAGTCTATCTAGCAGAACTCTGGTTTAATTGTCAAACACATATGCTCCAGCTGTCCCCCAAATTTAAGATCTGGCACGTAAATAAGCCTTGAAACTGGAGCTGATGTGGTTTTGCTTTTATAGTTGTAGTTCTGCTAGAAGAAGCCTTAATTTGGACAAAGCTCCATGAGTAGCAAGTAGACTATACCAATATGGCTTTTCACTTTTCCCACTGTGCAGGAGTAGTGCTCTAAGTCTGCTGTGCCTTCCTATGAAAATCGTGCTTCCATGGGGTAGGCTGTCCTGCTTTGATTATGCCAGCACGGTCAGACGGGTAGAGCTTCCTATGGCAAGCCTGTTCTGCAAAGCGCTATCCAGGAGGGGTATGAAGAGTGAAATCTCTGACGCGGCTGGTCAGCCCCCCTTGTGGAGACACAAGTCATGACAGAGAAATTGCTTTCACCACACCACTTGTTTCATTTACAATAGGGCTGGTTTTTTCCCATACTCCTGCGAACGCTGCCTTGCCAAGAAAGCTGAATCACAGTAGAACACTTCACCAGTATGTGCTGTCGCTCTAGTTGTCTCATCTCTCTCATGAAGTGAGAAACAAAAATAATATAAAATATGAACAGTGTGATGTGAGTACACTAAACATAGCTTCCTTTCTCAAATAAAGTATGTTAATGCGTGGATGGGTTATAAAAGGCATGTGTGTGACACAGTTAGGCCTGTGCCCTGGTGAGGCCACGTCTGGAGCGTTGTGTCCAGTTCTGGGACCCCCAGTTCAAGAGGGACAGAGGACTACTCGAAAGAGTCCAGCGGAGGGCTACTAAGATGATGAGGGGGCTGGAGCATCTCCCCTAGGAGGAAAGGCTGAGACCTGGGGCTCTTTAGCCTGGAGAAGAGAAGGCTGAGAGGGAACCTTATCAATGCTTATAAATATCTAAAGGGTGGGTGTCAAGGGGATGGGGCCAGGCTCTTCTCAGTGGTGCCCAGCGACAGGACAAGGGGCAACGGGTACAACCTGGAGCATAGGAAGTTCTGCCTGAACATGAGCAAGAACTTGGTTTATGTTAAGGGTGGCCGAGCACTGGAACAGGCTGCCCAGGGAGGTTGTGGAGTCTCCTTCCCTGGAGACATTCAAAACCCATCTGGATGCGATCCTGTGCGACCTGCTCTGGGTGAACCCGCTTTAGCAGGGGTCTGGACTAGATGATCTCCAGAGGTCCCTTCTAACCCCGACCGTTCTGTGACTCTGTAATTACAGTAACCCAGGTAATCTAGCCCGTGATAAGGAGTTGGATACACAGCCATACCCATACCAGCAGTGTACTACCGAGTGTAGAACTGGCCCTAGTGAAGACAAGAACCTACTTGTTTCCTTTTTTACTGGTTTCAGGAGGAACTTCCTCACACCTCTCCTGCTGTACCAGTAGCATGTATCCTAAAACAGAGGGAGGCAGTGCTTTCTGCTGATGTATTGCTAAATCCTCAGCCTTTGCAATGAAAGCCGCAGCACACCCCAGTCATGCGCAGTCTAGAAGGGTTTGGGACATCAGTCTCCAGGACTGTCAAAGCAGCGCTGCAGAATTTATACAGAACATTAAAAAAAAAAAAAAAGCACTCTTTTCACAAGAGTTTTATTTTTATTGTAAAGTGTAATTCTTCTGAATCTCTACGTTCAGAATGAAATGGTAAAGACTGCAAGTTACAGTGCGCTTACATCAGTGAAATTTATATCAGCACATAGAGGAGAATGATGATAGCACAGGGAAAAGGGATGGTAAAGAGAATCAGAAAGTGTGTCAGATCAGGCACTGATTGCACTGGAAAATCCGTAGAGGCTAAACAAAATAAATAGAGAAAAGATGAAGAGGACAAATCTGTAGCAAAATGGAAACATTTGTTAGCGTTTTATTGTTTCCTTTCATACCCAAGTTTGTCATCCAAAATTTAAATGAACAATGAAGAAGCATCTATTTCAATGCCCTGTAAAGGGAGTTGGTGCACAAGTCCAATAAAGTAAAGCTCTTTCGCATTATTCACTCAGAATTACGCTGAGTATTGCGTTCCCCAAAGAAGCATTTTTTTCTCTGGAAATTATGGAGGTGGTGAAGCGGCAGCAATGCCAGGCAAATTCAGAGTTATTAATCAGATATGCAGTTGTTCCCGTGGCTTCTCTTTTATTGCTATTCTTTCTGCTAAAGGTTTCCTGTATTGCTTGCCAGACTCCCAGAGTCTGTGAAGAGTGACCATTATGTACAGAAAATCCTAAAGAAACTGGAAAAATATGGCGAGACTCCCGACTTGAAAATTCACCCAGACACCTTTCTTAAGGTTCTGGCTGATCTACAGGTGTGGGAGCTGTGTTCTCCAGTAATTGCTGCCGCTGTGGAGGTGAGATGAGTCCAGTTCTTGATTCTCCGTGTGATAAGGGTGGGGAGACCAGGCACCTATGGGTGAAACTCATGCAGTGGAAAGTTACCAGAGGAAATCATTTAGGATCTTGCTAAATGAAGAAGCTACTATTCACCTTTTACAAGGCACTGTGAACCCTCAGAAGAAAGACGTTGTGACAAGTATTGGGTTATTAATCCGTATCACTTTGTCACTGTCGATTTATTTATCGCCACGGTGAAAGCGACGTCTGTCGTAAAGTGTTAGGACACTTGTGCCCTGAAGAGAAACATTAAGTTGTGCCCTGAAAAGGCCTCTCATTCCCAGTAGTTACATCTATGAGCTATTCAAGTAATGTATTATGTTACTGATCCAGGAGCTCTGCAGATATCTTTGTTTTGCTTCAGCAGCATTAAAAGAACAATCTGCTTCTGAGTATCTTAAGTGGGCTCAACTCTTCTGGTTCTAGAAAAAAAATGGCAGAAAAGGAAGGACACAAGAAAGGGAAGAGTATACATTTAGAATATATGCCACTGTGTAGGCTAACCAGGTAACTAATTTACAAAAAATGGCAATGGTGCCACCTTGTGTTTTTTGTTCTCATCACAGTTATTTCCCCTAATCTACAAGACCAATCGAAATCTCGAAGAGCGCAGCAGGTTACTGTGCGTCTTATATATATTGAGTGTTATCATGCCTTAAAAAGGCAAAAGTTTGGCACCCAACGTGTCAGGATCAGACTACCTATATTTTCTTGATGTCTTATAAAAATAGCCATTTTGTCTTGTGCCCCAGTTTGCACAGTCACTAACCAGAGAGGCAGCCTTGCCTTAATATTCAGTATATACGTCTCTGTGGCTTGCGGTTTTAGATCTCTTTCTTTGCTGTTTCCATTCTGTTCCCTTTGCATTTTGATCCCTCATATTAGTGCAACAGTAACAGAGAAAAACATGTGAGCATAGCTGAGTGTCCTATCTATTTATTCATACATCTTTCAAAAATAGCCAGAGAGAAAGGAGGACCCTGGTGCTCCTTCTGACTGGAACAGATGAAGGAAACGGTCACATTTTAGGAGCAAGAAGCATCACTGAATGTGACCTGGCTGATACTGATGGAGATTCCAGATGAAGTTCTTATTTAACTTAAGGTTGCTTTAATGTGTGTGCTGCAATGGTAGGTAGAAGATTGCTGCAAGTTTAAAACACAAAGACTTGACTTGGAAGGATTCAGGATACAAATTGCAATAAAGATTGTAGAGTTATGCTTTTAATTCATTTTAGGGCATATCCAGCTGTTCTGAAAGCTGCATTGAAAGTGTTTTGGTGATATAAAGCCCTACACTGACTGTTTGCAGATGCCATTACATTTGTTCTGTTGTCACAATGGTCAAATTTTCCCACATGTTCTCTCTCTCTCTCTCACACACATAAATCAAAGCCTCAGGAAAGAACCTTTTTCTGTTTCAGTTTGTACGTGAAAGTATTGTGCAGATGCCAGAAGAGGATTTCAGCGCGTGGTTTCAGACAAGAGTATCTCCCCTCAGCGCACAGTCCTCCACCTTTTAATCGAACGGCCAGATAAGATGGTTTCCCAGCTACAACTGTCTTCAAGCACAGAAGTACTGCCTGTTGAGATCTGCCTCAAGGAAGACTAGGGAAGGGGAGTTAACTCCAGGAAGTCCCACTGATCACTCTTGCACAACTGAAATTTCTCCCTCTGCAGTGCTCTGCTGGCTGTAGTCAGCCATAGAAAATAAAACCTAAATACTGTTGCTCCTTCCTGTCTGATGTCTTGGACACGCCGTCAAATTTCAATCTCATGTAACCATGTAGGGTGAAGATTAAGTTTCTCATCACAGGTCAGGTCATTTCTTCAGACATTCGTCTAACAGTACGTACAGTGTGACGAGCATCTACTCAGTACGGACATACTGATTTCCGTATCTAAATATAGCGTTGGCTCTGTTTGCTCTTCATTTTAGCTCTCACTTATAAAAAAATGTCCCAATCACAAGGCAGTTGTAAGCTTTAAGACAATTCATTTTTTGCATTAATTCTTTTTTGTAATTCAGATGTTTAATTTTTGCATTGAGTTTATTCTGTAGCTATTCTGTGATTATGCTTAATTCTTGCCTTATTAAAATCAGTATTGAAAAACCAAGCATCCTTAGATTTCCCAGGTTTTCACCTGAAGATCTGTTTTCCCCTGATTACTTTAGCATGTGTTTGCCATTACTCTGCTGGGTAAGACAGTAGAATGGCACCCCTGAACTCCCAGACAGTGGTAAATACATGACCCTTGTGAACCTGTCTGGGCTTAACCATGTATTTCGTGGGCCATGGAATCAGTGACCTTCTAAGCTGATGATCTTATGAGCTGCTTACCTGCCTGTCAAAGCTTCCAGGGGACCCACTGGGGAGAAATGCTTTCGATCCTTCGGATGCAATAAGAGGAAACAATGCCAGCTTAGGGTCCAGGTGAGTACAGTGACCACTCACGTGTAATATGTTATTGATGAGTAGCCTTATTTTGTCCCCTCCTCATTAGCAAGAGATAAATGTTTTTCAAGGAAAAGAGCCAAGAAGACAGGTTTCTCTGACTTACAGCCATCGGAGAAAAGCTCTTAAAGTTCTGTTGTGCTCCCACTTCTCTCATTCAAGTTTCATTGTCAGTGCTGTTGTGTTACCCTGTGGTAAACAAAAAAGAAATCTTAATTTAGCAGCTTGGGAGCTCCTGGTTGAACTGTGGTTACACAAGGCAAAACCTTCTTGGTCCTTCCTCGCTATGTGGAACTGCAGATACAAAGTTATGGTTTTACTTACATACAAGAAATGGAAACCAAGGGGCTCGTCCTCAGCTGGAGTACAAGAGCCATGCTGCCAAAATCAAAACTTTATACTACCCAAGCACGTGACCTCATGTGTTTGCCTGCATGTAAGATGAGGTGATTGTCCCAAATGTAATTAGCTAATGTCTGAGCAGCTCTTTTGAGCTCCCAAAGCAGGATGCCAATGCTGAATGTTAGGGGTCTCTGACGGTTTTGTGGGATTATGAAATAGATCATGTATGGTTTTGTTTGACAATGGCTCTTCCCTCTCCTATTGCCACCAGGTAACAAAAGGGACTCTTCCTCTAAAAAGAAAATAGATCATCTTTTCTCATCCTCCAGCACCAGCCTCATGAAAATTTTTCTGCTTCTTTCACTCTGAGGTGGAGAAAAGCTCCTTTGGAGCAAAATAGCAGCTTCCCTTTTCCTGCTTCCTGACAAACTCTTTCCTCAGGCAAGATCCCCAAGCCTACTGATGTCTTTGTCTGCCAATTTAAAAGACCGAAACAGTACAAAGAGGTTAGAGGTCCCAGATAAAAGACGACTTGGGCTTTTAAAACTTTTGCGTTTTTTTTCCTGCAGATATCTTGGATTCTCCCAAATACTTTCGTGAACAATCTCACAGTCTTTGACTCACTGCTTCAGCACACCCTTGCAAGGTAGGTTCAAGGTAACCCATTGAACACATTGGAAACGGATGCACCAAGACTCAAGAAATTCGTTAAAGGTCAATGGAACGTGTGGCAGAGCTGCTTGGATCAGTGTTCTGTCTGCTCAGCCCTCCGCCCGTTCTGTTCTGGTCCTTTACAATTTCAGCTAATGGGCCAATCATTCACGAATTCCATTAGCCAAAACAAACCGTGCAACTTGTCTTGGTCGCTTGATTCATGCACTGGAGAGATGTTTGGGGGGTTCAGACACAGAACTCACAGAGAATCCTGATCCTGTTTCCCGCTGCCTGATGCGTTCCCAGTGTCACCCGAACGCCACCCTCCTCAGATTACCCCTCTGTGAAACTGAAATACAAACATTTTACTGGATCTCACTAGTAGCAGAGCTGAAAGCTGTTGCATGAGAATTGCTTGGATATTAGACTTACAAGTGTTACAGGAAAAGTCATCAGTTCTAAAATAGTAAGTAATGCCTCTTTCACCCTTCGCCCTTCCCTTCCGCTTCACAATGGTTCTGAAATTGTCATCTCTACTCTCTTTTCATAGAAAAGATTTCACCGTGGTAGAAAAGAAGCCAACCATACTGTTAAATCAACAACAATACTCCCACTGTGGTTTATATTGGACGTGAAACCCAGCATCTTATAAATAGGGATTATAAAATAAACAACTCTGTCTTTCTTGGAGATAGGCTGTTTTATCGTTAATCAATGCCACAGTCATTGTAGGGGTATTCAGAAATCAGGGTACATCTTTCTAATTGGAATTTCAGCTTTATGTAGCACCACTCTATTCTGCTGTCTTGTAAATTAATGGCACTGTGCCAGCATGTTAGAGATGCAGCTATATTTGGCCTCCTACATTAATAACAGCAATTCTTTTAGCTAAGTTTTAATAAATGTCGCTCTTGTGGCATTGCAGAAGATAACAGCTCAGGCTAACAAACCCCAAGATATTTGGGACCAGCTCCAGCTCCTCGTAAGGTCAGTGGAAAAGTTCTTATTGGCCCTGTTGGTTATTGATGACTGTAAAATCAGAATAGGTTGTTGTGACAAGCACCATGGCTGGTCTTGTAACCAGCAGCTTGATCTTTTATTCAAGGCACTAATTGAGTGTTGGTAGCCACACTTTTTGCTATGCAGCAAGCCTACACAAGCAAAATAAAAATACGCTTTCTAGTAGGAAAGTCAACCAACCACCAAAAGAAAGTGATCAAAGAGAGAAAGATGTGACAGAAGGAGTGCAGCTGGGAAGAATTCTCAGATACCCCAACCTTAATTTCCTGTCTCTGGTGAGATTCTTCTCATGAGCCTAAAAGCAGCCTTCAAAGAAGGACGAGTGCTGGAATTGTACCAAGGGTGCGAGGTCACTGATCTGGACAAATCCTTCAGCTGTTCTGTGGCAGAAAGGTTTCTCTACAGACCCATTTTTCTTGCTGAAGCCCCCATCCTGCTTCTCTATCTACAGACTTCCAAAGATTTGATTTTCTCTTTATGGATGCTAAAAGGCTCAGAGGCCCCTTCAAGGGGCATTTTAGTGAGAAGCATGTCTGAGTGTAATGATTTAATGATTTAGTACTATTGAGGGCTGGTTTATGGAAAACATCAGAGCTGGTTTGAATCCTCGGAGTAGAAATAATGACACCAAATGTATACATAGATAGGACTGTTCTTCATTCACTGCCTGAAGTGCAATGAGCGGCAGTAAAGCTTAATCTTTCCCGCTTTGGCTGGAACGGAATCGCACCTTTGAGATCAATAGCAGGCTCTGTACCAGGGAGGATTACTTTAGCCAGCCCACCAGGCCCATCATCTAGACAAACTGGAAGAACAGTTTTTTGGAAGCAGACGTTTTCCTCGTGCCGTTTCTGTTGTAACCCACACAGGGGTTGGCATGGCTCGTTCCATCCCACCCCTCAGTTCTTCTGGGTAGGAAATGTAATTTCCTCCTATTTTCAAATTTGCAGCCTTGTATTTGGGCATTTGTTTTCCTTTATCAAAACCTCGGCTTCCTTGATTTAACTGACTACTGGCTGAAAGAAATCAATGTCTAACCTCCTCCTGAAAAGATCATAAACAGCTGATCGTGAGAAGCTGGGAGGACATACCGGGGGCTGAAACACCCTGAAATTGCCCTGCTTCTTGTACTCTTCTTAATGACCTGTCACTGGCCAGCATCACAGATGGGATGTAGATGCATTTTGGTCTACCTGATGCTTGTGTTTTATGACAAAACTGGAGAGGGAGGGAAAAGTTGAGACTGTTGGGTAACAGTCCAACATACCAGTGTCACTGCAGCATGTTTGGAGTTGTGCTTATCTGTTCGTCAGGGTAACAGGAAGCAGAAAGGTTAATCCTTCAGGACCCCTTGCAGCAGTGAGAAGGAAGGAATGGCTGCTATGCCAGAAGGGCAGGGGAACAGCAGCGTTTATCCCATTGAACCAGCCACTGAGTTCCATGTTTCGAGCAGGCCATCACATCTGACTGTGACTCTCTTCCTCCTTGCGGTAAGTGGCCATTTCCACGCTAAAGCGCGGTCTTAAGGATTAAAAGGCAGATTCTAGATTATTCTGCAGTCGAGAAGGGAAATAAAGAGCAAATTCCACTGGAAGGGAAAGAATTTGCTCTTGCACAAAGCAGAGCAACCTCAAAGCTAACTCTTGCCCATCAGAATACACCTTCCAAAGGGGCTGGCATGCTATAGCTACACAAATCTCCTGGCTTTTGATTGCTGCATCAGCCCCACATAATTACGTTATTTTCAATAGTGTTGGTCCTGATTAACAATACCAGTTTTCAAGATTCTGATTTTCTGTGATTGAACTGGACTTTTGCAGTGCACTTCACAGGGGCAGGATTAGACCCTAAAATAGGGAAAGGCTGAAAAAGAAAGACTTTTCTCTTTGTCGACATGTCTTTCCTTTTTTTTTTTTTTTTTTCCTGGAAAACAGTTGTTTCTTTTCTATGTGATTTATAGAGCTTTTTATTAGGGCGGCTATATTTTAGTACATTACATTGGAAATTACACCGAACTATATATGATGGATTTAGTCATTGTGCTATAAATT